TCTCAGAAGATGACGAAGAAAGGTGAAGCTTTTGTGCTTGAATCTGGTGAAGCTTGTGTTGAGATCCCAAACTCTGTCATCACAAAGAATCAACACAAATGGGAAAACTTCATCATTGCTCAATTTAATGGCAGAGCGCCATCTCCGGGAGCTCTCCACGCCATAACTAATGGTATCTGGAGTAGTAGGCTCAAAAACATAACAGTTTCAAGGCTTACAGATAGATCTTTTCTAATCAAAATACCATGTCCTATCACAAGGAAGAAGGTCTTGGACCAGGGTATGTGGCACATTGAAAACCAAGCAATGTTTGTTGCGAAGTGGGAACCAGGGCTCCAACCGGAGACGCCAGAACTCACTGCAGCCCCGGTTTGGATTGACTTCCATGGCGTTCCACCGCACTTCTACAATGAGGAAGGTTTGGAGCACATCGCTGGCTTAGTTGGGGATCCAATTGTCTTGCACCCATCTACTGCTAGCATGACCAACCTGGAAGTGGCAAGAGTGTACACCATCGTTGATCCAACCAAACCTTTACCTGAGGCGGTCAACGTCCGTTTTCAATCAGGTCATATCCAGAGAGTCTTGGTGACAAGTCAGTGGCTTCCACCGGTATGCACTCACTGTCAAGAGGTGGGTCATTCCATCAAGAGATGCCCCACGGCCCCTATTACCTGTACGCTTTGTAAATCCACAGGACACGAGACAAGTGCCTGCCCGAGAAACAAACCGGATCCCACCAAGACTGCCAAGAAATCTACTAAAGAGAAAAAGCAGAAACCAAAGCGTAAGAGAGCTGAAAAATCTGTGTTTACTCCAATTCCTGATCTTGCAGGGACGCTTGAGATAGATATCGGGTTAGACAAGCTGAGGAAGGATAGTGACCAGAACTCCGACAAAGCAGTAAATGAGAAGAAGCAGGATACCAACCATGGAAAGAGATTGCATATCTCCTCCTCTTCATCCTCCTCCGAACCCGATACAGCCTCCTCAGAGACGGATACCTCAGAATACTCCTCTGGAGATTCAACTTCCTCTCAGGAGGAGGGCGAGTTCACAAAAGTTGTCTCAAAGCGTAAGCAGAAACTTATGCTGCAGCAGCAAAAGAAAGAAAGCTCCAGTAAGAAAACAATCAAGAAAAAGGGTCTCCCTAGGGGCACATGCCCCACCTCTGATTAATCTTTATGATAGAGTGCTTCTGTTGGAACGTTAGAGGCTTCAATAAATCAGTTCGGCGAAGAAGTTTTAGGAAATGGTTTCGGCGTAATAATCCTCTTTTTGGTAGTCTAATTGAAACTCGGGTGAAAGTTGCTAGAAGTCAGAAGTTTATTCAGTCTACCTTCCCTGGTTGGAATGCGGTAGGAAATTATGAGCATGCCGCTCTCGGAAGAATTTGGGTAGTGTGGAACCCTCAAGTGGTTGTATCTGTTCTTCACAAATCGAGTCAGATGATTACTTGTCTGGTCAAGCTACCGAATACCTTAACAGAATTTGTGGTATCCTTTGTCTACGCTGTGAATTGCCGTAATGGAAGAAGGGCTTTGTGGTCTGATCTCTCCCACCTTTCTGGTAACTCAGTAATATCTGACAAACCTTGGATGATTCTTGGAGACTTTAATCAGCCGCTTAACCCTGAAGACTCTTCTACTGGTGGCACTAGGATCTCCGGGGGAATGGAGGAGTTCAGGTCCTGCTTGCAGTCTGCACAGCTCTCTGACCTGTCCTTTAGAGGCCACCACTACACCTGGTGGAATAAGCAAGAAGCTAATCCCATTGCAAGGAAGCTCGATAGACTCCTCGTCAATGATAACTGGCTGCTTACTTTCCCTCTTTCGTATGGCGAATTCAGGGACCCAGAGTTTTCAGACCACTGCCCCACTTGCATTCACTTTGGTGATCAGCTGGCTAGAAAGCGTAGACCATTCAAATTCTCGAATTTCCTCCTGGATAACGAGAACTTTATGGGTTTAATAGAGGAGTTCTGGAGGAACACTAATGTTTCAGGGACGGCGATGTTTACCATTAGCAAGAAGTTAAAACTCCTCAAAGGTGGCATCAGAAACTTCAACCGCGACAATTATTCTGGTATTGAAACCAGAGTTAATGAAGCGGCTGCTGCTCTGGCGGAGTGTCAGCATAACTTCCTCGCTAATCCTTCGTCTCCTCTTGCTACCTTGGAAAAAGAAGCACATCAGCATTGGATGAAACTAGCTCTCGCTGAGGAAAAATTCTTCTGTCAAAGATCCAGGATCCAATGGCTGAAAAATGGTGATAGTAATACAGCTTTCTACTTTAAAATGGTGGCAGCCCGAAGATCCTGCAACCAGATTCACTTTCTTATCGACAGTAATGGAAGGAAGATTGAGAATAAAAAAGAGATTGAAGATCATTGTGTGGGTTTTTTCTGGAACCTTCTGGGTCAGGACTCCACCCCCCTAGCCGCTACTGATTGTGACCTTATCAACTCTCTTAGTGCCTTCCACTGTACAGATGAAATGAAGAATATGCTGGTAGCTGAGGTCACTGCTGAAGAGATAAAGGACACTGTCTTTAACCTTCCTGCTCATAAGGCTCCAGGGCCGGATGGGTACAATGCGGAGTTTCTAAAAGCGACTTGGTCCATCACAGGGTCTGAGATAATTAGGGCTGTTCAGGAGTTCTTCCGCAATGGTAGGATGCTGAAACAATGGAACTGCACTGCTATCACATTAATCCCGAAGAAGGTAAATGCTGACAAAATCTCTGAGTTCAGGCCCATCTCTCTTTGTAATGTCCTCTATAAGATTATCTCTAAGATCATTGCAAAGAGACTTGAGGTTCTTCTTCCAGCTATGATCTCGCCTCACCAGTCTGCCTTCGTTAAAGGGCGCTTACTCATTGAGAATGTCCTGCTGGCTACGGAAATGGTCCAGAAGTTCAATCAGCAAAATATATCGAGTAGAGGAGTGCTTAAAGTGGATTTGCGGAAAGCTTTTGATTCTCTGCGGTGGGATTTCATTTTACAAGCTCTTCAAGCGGCTCGTTTTCCACCCGTCTTCATTGGCTGGATCAAGCAGTGTATAACTACCACTAGTTTCTCAATCAATGTCAATGGGGATCTTTGTGGATACTTTCATGGGGCGCAAGGGGTAAGGCAGGGTGACCCGATCTCACCATATCTTTTTGTCATCGCAATGGAGGTGTTTGGTAGACTTCTGGAAAAGAAATATGAAGATGGCAGCATTGGCTATCATCCTAAAGGTCAAGATCCCAAGATTTCTCATCTTGCCTTTGCTGACGATGTGATGGTGTTCTTTGATGGAACGCACGCCTCTTTATGTGAGCTCAACTCAACGCTTGAAACCTTCCACCGGCTCTCTGGATTGGAAATGAACCGTGAGAAATCAGCTTTGTACACGGCTGGTATTGCTGAGGACGATCAAGCTACACTTGCGGGCTTTGGCTTCACTCAAGGCTCTTTCCCCTTCCGGTATCTTGGCCTCCCTCTCACCCACAGGAAGCTTCGGAAATCTGAATACTCCCCTCTGCTGGATTCAATCTCAAACAGGTTTAATCACTGGACAACAAAAGCCTTATCCTTCGCTGGCAGGTTGCAGCTAATCTCTTCTGTTGTCTATAGCACCGTCAACTT